TTTCTCTTCGACTATTGAATTACTTGATCCTACATGTACCCATCATAAGTAGTGATATCTAGGAAGACATTAGACTATTGGTGTCTATGCAAACGATCAAATCCTCTCTCAATGGAGAGTTCCACATTCATCATGAACAGGTATAAGTTCTCAAATGAAATCTTAAAAAGGAATGTTTACATTAAAAGGCATTGAATGAAAATCCCAGACAAGGAACTTAGTGACTCAAATTCATGGTTTTAAAGTTTGAAATAAATTTGGATATAAAATATTCATTTTCTTTTCTTTAACTAATATTTTGAAAATGAAGAACCAGCAAGATTATTTCCATCACCTAGAAAAATGAACCGGCAAAATTTCCTCAGAGAAGGATTTTGTTCATAAGATAAAGAATTTTAATTTTCTAATGAAATAAGTGTAAAAAAATAGTCAATAAAACCAGAGAGTAGAGAAAGATCATGAAGATATAGACAAACCAAGGAAGAGGAGGAAGGGGGATATGAGGGGATAGGGGGAGAAGGAAGAAGAGAGATAGAGGGGAGTGAGGAGAGAGAGAGAGGGGGGGTGATGGAATGATTTCATTTAAAGTAGCTATATATGGAAAGAGAGTTATTATATGGGAAAAAGTAAATAATTATAGGTATTATCCTAAGATAAATGAAATACACTAAAATAAAATAATTTTAAAGTTTTTTTATATAGAAAACAAAAGATGAAATAACTCTTCTCGTCCATGCTCTTTGCAACAGATGGTCTAACGTATTATTATAAGCATCCATATGTTATGAATGGGTGTAATGTTTTTCAAATATAAAAGTAGGAACAAGATTCAACAAGATCTATTATGTACCAAGATAAATTGCAACAATCACTAAGTATTAGATGATTAGTTACTAAGTATTAGATGATTAGTTGTTTTTCATTGAACTATCCAAATAAAAAAATGAAGGATAAAAAGCATGATCCAAGGTGAGAATCAAGAGGGAATAAAAAGGCATGAAAGAAGGAGGGGAGAGAGGAAAGTTGTTACATAGAATAAAACGCTCAACATAGATAAAAACGCGTAACATGTAGATACTGCCAAAATGGGTGCGGAGCATACGAGAAGAGAAAGAGAAAACAATTTTTTATGTTGTAACCAAATGCGGAAGAGAGCTTAGGAAATTAAAAAACTAGCAAAAAGAGGAAGAGAACAAGAAGAGACTTCACTCGAGTGGTTACAAAGAAAAAATCATTCAACAAAAATGTAAGATACTACCAAAAGAAACTAGAGAAGAAAAGGACAACGTATTTAATGTCTTTAATCATTGTTATTAAAGGTACCTAGAAACCGTCTCGATAAGCATGACTCCTTCACCACTTAGTTTTGACCCAGACGCACTCAACTAGGCCTCGGGGTGCTCTAGGCGAGCCGCTTATGCACCAAAGGTTGCTTAAGCCGGCTACCTAACTTTTAGTCAAAATAAAATGCCTAAATGGGTTGTATTATTAAACTCAAATCCGACCCGACTTGTTTTTTACTAAAAATTCTAGTCTCTTTTTATTTTTTTCTTTCTATCTCGTTCTCTTTCTCAATCTCTCCAGACCTCTTTCTCGACAAAGTGTCTGGTACAATGATTGTACCAAATCATCTACACCTCCATCTAACTAATGACATTTTTTAAATAAAATGCCAACTCATCATCTCTCTTCTCCTTTCCTTCTCTCTTTTTTCAAATTAACCAACAAAAAAGTTACAATCATCCATCCAACATCATATCTAAACCCAACCGCACCTTCCTCCTCCAATATACATCCGTTGGATTTCATGGCATCGCGGGTGAGCGACGCCGCTACTCATGGGATCTATTATGGAACATCTAATGTCCATTTGGGCTTGGGATGAATGAATAAAAACGGCCATCAAGCTTTATGCATTGCTTGTTTGTTTTAATTTAAAAAAATCTCATGCAATGCTTAAATGTTTTTCCCTTGTTTCGGTCAAACATAATATATAGAACTCCATTAATCTCTGTTGTGCATAAAATTACAAAAAAGAAGTATGTGCATTGTTATGCAATAAACTAGTATCATTTACTTTAACTCCATAAGAAAATCTTAATCTACAAAAGACATACTTGCTACTTTAAATATGTTCAATTTGAATCTCAATGGAAACATAGACAACAAATATAGACAATGGAAATGTGAACAAGGATTTGAATTGCTACAAATGACTGAGGTATTATCCTAGGTTTTTATTTTGTTTCTAGTTTCATGTTTCAATTAATAAAGGCAGCAAATGAGAAAAAAAAACAAACTTTCACTTTTTTAAAGTATTAATAATCAATGGAGTTTAGCCAAGCCTAGGATGGCCATTGGAGGAGGACGGAGAGTTGTAATTGGATCTGGAGTTGGATAGCTACTGTTGAAGGAAAGAGGAAAAAAGGAAAGGAGAAGAGAGATAAAGAGTTGGTATTTAAATTGACAAATGTTGTTAATTAATTGAACAGAGATATGGATGACTTGATACATTTATTGTAACAGATACCTTATCCTCTTTTTCTCTCTCTCTCAAACCCAAGCATAGCATCTGCTTCCTTAGAGTCTCACTGCACCTCTCTGTCGATCATGTTGTTGCTCTAACGATGTTACTAACTCCTAAGAATCTCCTCCAAGCATCTCCTCGTTTCCTTCCCCTAGACTCTCACCTTCTCATTCCCTTCCTACTTCAACACAAACTTTCTTCGTTGGCTCCTCTGTCGACTTTCAGGACCTTATATAGGAAGCATGACCTTATGGTGGGATCTAATACAGCAGCATATATGACTCATAACAGTTCTAAGATTAAAAGACACTTTCATTTAATACTTAAAAAAATTATATAGAATATACATAGGAAAAAGTAGGTCTGAGTTAGCTAAATGAGCTTACCAAGCGATGAACTAGTGGTGAGACTCATCCCGCTAGCCACGTCAGATATATGGGTCTCACCATCATTCATTCCTAGATAGCTAGTTCTAGAAAATGAAGCGTTAGACTAATAATCAGTAACCATATATTTGTGTATATGCATGCGTCCATGCACGACTGTGTGCTATGCGCAAATAAACAAGGGCTACTATGTCACTTATCTATATGTAATTCAGGACGTCTTTCACCATGGCATGATATCCAAACTCCCTAGATCATTTTGAATAAAGCTCTGTCGCATGAAATGAGCAATATACTCATGTTGCACTCTTACAACTTCATTAGCAGTATAAGCCTTTCGCTTAGTGACAACAATGAGTATATTCAACCTTCTCATTTTGTTCACTCTTACAACTTCATTAGCAATATAAGCATTTTGCTTAGTGACGACAATGAGTATATTCACCCTTCTCATTTTGATTTTAATCAAAACATAAAAATTCGATATTTTATTTAAGATCTGTCCGAGATGCTTTCTCTTTGTAGTGCACTTCATATATACTTTATTCAAAGATTATTCCTCATTTCATGTTTTCCTACTTCTAATTGTTTTTACTAAGAAAATTATCTATAAATATTTTAAATATTGCCACAAAGCATCCAAAACAATTATTTGAATAATTGACTAAAGAGAATCTTGACTACTCGTTTATTTACTAGAACTTGGTAACCTTGGTTAAGTATCACCGATTTAAATTGCCATGTATGTTGTACTACTATATTTTGTGTTATTAATTGAAAACTTTTAGCATCATTTATTGCTACTGGTATGTAAAACCAAATACTAATCTCTATAATTGAAATTAGAGCAAATTACACTTAAATACCCTAAGGTTTACCCATATTGTACCAAAATACCCTCACTTTTAAACCCCGACAGATAAATACCCTAAAGTTCTAAAATGTATTACATTGATACCCTCTATTTGATAACCATTAGAATATTCAGCGAATATTCCCTTTTGGGTGGATGTGGTTATCTGGGGCTCTTCTTTACCCATAAAGTTTCTCAACTTTACAACTACTACCATTATGTCATACGAACCATGTTTTATTTCCTATTTTGACCTCAAACTCATATTTTTCATTGCTTCTTCCCAACTTCATTGCAGCCCACCATGAAGGTGAGCTAACACATGAGACTCATCAATTAAACAAGAAATTATGCAAGAAAACCAACACATGAGACTCATCAATTAAACAAGAAATTATGCAAATGCTCCTAATTTTTTTGCACAAAGTCCACGTAAAAAAATTACCTAAGTTAGGTCAGATCCTGACAGCGATCCACGCCCCCTCACAAACAACTACCTCTTTCAAGATTCAAATCAACAATGCACGTTTAAATTCCCAACTCAAGATCAAAATTTATCCCAAGGTGGTGGAAAATGTAATAAAGGGTTTTTTTACTGTAGACGGGCTTCATTACAGGGCGTAGGTGAATTTAATAGGGACATTATTGTCATTTAGTATGTTCTTTCAAGATCCAAATCAACAATGCATGTTTAAATTCCCAACTCAAGATCAAAATTTACTGCGGGGCGCAATCAATTTAGGGGAATTTGGTGGAAAGTGTAAGAAAAGGTATTTTTTACCATTGGCGGGCTTCATTACAGAGGGTTGGTGAATTTATTAAGGACGTTACTATCATTTAATAGGTTTTTTTAACATTGCCTGCATTTTTTAACAGTAGAAACATTCTAGAACTTTAGGGTATTTATCTGTAGGGGTTTAAAAGCGAGGGTATTTTGGTGCAATATGAGTAAATATCAGGGTATTTAAGTGTAATATGTCCTTGAAATTATGGAATACATGTAGCAGAATACAGATAAATAAATAAACAATAGAGGAATAGAGAGGAGAGTGGTGCACCTGATTGCAATGGTAGGAGAACCAATACCTCAACGAGTAAAATAGGCATAATTGAAGGATAGTTACACTTTTAAGCATAGTTCTCCAAACAGAAACTATGTGCATCTTTGTAAGCTGAGTAATGTCCCAGAAGAAAATAGGAATAAAGCCGCCGTTGATATGCAATCAACCATCCATTGAAGAAATGAACTAAACATTAAGAATATACCAATATCGACGTTGAGTAGAATCAACAAAGAAAGATCAACTCTTATCACTCTATCAATAATCAGAATTATCATCATCTTGTACCAATACAACACACATGGATTGAAGAATGCAACAGACTGTTAAACTCCAGTTGCTAAATTCTCTTCCCATCGCTTGGATCCTGTTAAAGCAATAGACTTTGAATAGCCTTCCTAAAGATGCAGTCCATTGCTAAAGTTTCAAATGTGCAGCTTTTGTGCAAGAGCCCAATAGGCTTGTTTCCAACTTAGTGGCTGTCAAGTAATGATAGCTGGCAAGACCCAGATGAGATTTTGATGTTAGACACTACAGTTGCATGGTGATGGATGTAACCTGAACCTGTTAAAAATACATAATTAATCTTCACTCTGAATTGTAGGCGGACTATAAATCTCAGCCAGGTTCAAGACTCAAGAGGGTTAAAAACATTAATGGAAAAAAATAACTCAATTCGCATAAAAGCCATTAAGTGATTTTTATGGATCAATTATAACAGAGCACAATATCCATATCGAAAAAAAAGACAAGGGTTTCGGTCCATCCTCACGCAAAATGTGAGGTGCCAGCTTTGAATAATGCAAGGTGATTCTAGGTGAAGAATTCTAAGTAATATTTGGTAAAGTTCCTAATGTGGTTCGCCATGTGTACTGGAAACATGAGTCTGAAAAAAAAATAGTAAGGAATGATTAGATAATATGGCTATTGAAGGGCCAAAGGCAATATATTACACAAAGTAGCACTTTAATTGTTTGAACGAATCCATTTCCATTTTAAAGATGAGAAACAAGTAGAGCAACATAACAAACTTCTACATATGCAAGATTCATATTAAGTGACAGATAATTTGTATCCATTTTAGTCTATGCCAGATGATAAAGTAATGCTCCCAAATTACCTCCATCTAGATTATCCTTCAGGCAATAGTTGGTACTTTAACTTTGGGACATTGCCCTTAAATACCCCAAAGTTTACTCAATTTTTTACTTTGATACACTAAAAATTTCTTTTGCAAAAAAGGTACCCCAAAGTTTATCTCATTTTAATTTCGATACGTAAAGTTTCTTTTTGCCTAAAAAATACCTTCAACAAAATTTAATTTTGTACCCCAAACTTTAACAAATTTGACAAAAAATGTTAAGTATGGGTATCAGAACTAAAGTTTGTTGAATTTTGGGGTATTTTTCTGGGCAAAAGAAAACTTTGGGGTATTGGAGTTAACTTTTGTCTTAACTCTGGGTATTTTTGGGCAAAAGAGAACACAAGGTTATCAAAGTTCAAAATGAGGTATGGGGTATTTAAGAGCAAATAACCCTTTAATTTTCATGGCCAAGAAATACACAGAAAATTATCTGTTACCTTCATAAGAGCTTTAAGCTTTCCGATTCTAGCGATTTTGCAGCACCAGCAGGGCCCAATACAAATCTAAAAGCCGAGTATGGGCAACCAAAGAAGCGCAAAAGATTATGACAGCCCTTATCACCATTCACACCCGTCGAATTTATGTGATTAAGATATGTGTTGCCTTCATAAACATAATGGAGCTGCTGCCATAACAACACACTTAAACCACTTTCAACAGCTACACTAGCAAATGCCAAATATACAAGTACAAAGCCTCTCGCGGATAAGAGCATTATTGAGCTTGCAAATGTAGCAATAATTTCCTTTAAAATCCTCCCACTGTTTACATTTTTGGACCCAAGAAAGGCAACATTTCGGTAATCTACATGAGGCCACACATGATATGCAGTAAATGTAGTCATCATAAATATGTAAATGCAACTGGTAACTATAGAGATAAGGAACGCAATGAAAGATCGGTGGTTTCCTGCTCCAACACAGTTTGCAATCTGCAAAAACGTAAACACGAAGAGATCTCAGATCTTAGAAGAACAAAACTATTAATGTTAATCTATAAATGCACAATGGAAACTTAAATTGTCTAATGCGAGACAAACTATTTATAGAGAAGTGCAATTACCTTTTTTAAAGTGGAATTCAATTTCGTATGAAATAAAACTATGTAATGACATTATCAGCAAGCTTAATACCATCTTGGTGACAAATTCGCTTCATCAGGCAATTCTTCAGTTTATTCAAAATACATTGTTTTCTAAACAATTTTCAAAATTTTCCATTAGATTTTCTTATGCTGTTCCTGCTATGCTAAACCATGAACAGTCTGCCATCTGAACTGGTTTCTTTGTGGAAACTCCTAAGCTTCGGCCATTCACTTTCTTCAACAGTCAAGAGGATTTAAGTAACCTTCCCCAAACAAAGTTCCATTTGTATTCACAAAAATGGTGTATGGGTTTCACAATCCAAAAATAATAGAACATAAAATTTTATTATTATAATTTTACATCTTAAATTAATTAATTTCATATTTGTGTCTTGAAGTTTTTCCTGCCTTGTGACTGGTTCTATGCTGGACTACCCATCCAGAACCATCAGAACATTACAAATTTCTCAAACGTCCATGCGCTCAAGTCCTAAGGTCGTTATAGGATCAAAAACAATAAATCTAGTGTATTGTAAGTTCTATCAGAATTATCCTGTAAACAAATGATTATAATTATAAATGAAGAATACTAAAACATAATTCATAAGTGGAAAGAAATATGAGGTGATTCCTCTTGTATCACACTTACGAAGGGGCAGTGATGATCCATGTCCAAAACACACATTCTACAGGACCGACAGTGATGTGCCCTTGGAGGCTTCGGCTTTTTACAAAACTCACAAAAAGTATAGTTATCCAAAACATCTTTTGCTACAAGTGAATAGCTACCCCAGGAAATTTTTAGTGGTGCCCCAGGGGAGCTAAATGCTGCCAAGCAGAAACTAGAGGTGGTACAAATAGCCAAAATAGATGTTACAATGCAGTGGAACATGCCCCAAAAGTAACTTCTGGAAAAAATAATTGGGTGGACTGCCCATACACCAGCACCTGTCCACCTCAAAAGGTAAAAACATAGTTAGAAACTAACGCAGCATCCAAACCATAAGTCAAGTTTAATAACCAATAATGGTTTTCGTTATATTAGAACCCAAAATCTATGTTAATTCTATACTGGACCCCAAAATCTTCATATTTCTAATTAGACCCTCAAATTCATTTATTTTAAATAAGACCCCAATCCATTAAGTTGTTTTAAATAGGACCCTCAAATTTATTAAGTTGTTTTCAATAAGACGCCAATTTTTTAACCGATATGAAGATTTGAGGGTCGAATATAGACTTAACAAATATTTAAGGGTTTAATATGACAAAACCCGAATAAAAAATGTTAGGCAAGCGGTAAACAAGCAATCAAGAACATCTTAACAGAGAAGGGAAACTAGCTTTCAACTTACATAACACGAACAGTATGAAGAGTACAACAATAGCAACAAAGGATCGGTCCCTTATAAGCCTCCACCGAGAAAAGCAAGCACTATCAGGTTTCCTCAAACTATGATTTCGATTAGTGATCGCACCACACCATAAGCATTTAAATATATGTGCATGCGATGGCAGAATAATGCGTAACCCACAGCCCCAGCAAGTTTCCTCATTATCTGTCAACATTGCTACGCAATGTTCTTCCTACAAAGATCAATATGAGACACTTTAGGATCAATGTTTTAGCTATAAAGTTCAACTTCTGCTGTTGAATCTAATTTCCAGTTACCCTTAGCTAATATATAGGTACGACCGTATTATATACGGTGTAGATAGTAGTAATAGGACAGCGTCATAATTAAAGTAGTACTCTATATCAGTACGCTATACATGAGTAGTATATCGGGACATATGATAGCGCTTATTATAGGTATTATATATATTTCAAATGTAAAATATGGCTCCAGAAATTACGATCGCTGACTGCTTCATTACTTGGATGATCTCCTCTATTTAACTTATGCGTGAGATTCAAGTAGCCATAATATTGACAGATAATGAAGAAGCAAAGAGTCCTAGCTCCACTCTGGCCAACAGACGATCTAGTGATATGGACTGCATTAGTAGGTACAAGAAGAATAAAAAGTCTTTGATTTGGGGTCAGCTTCATTAATCCTTGCTCTTAATTTAGCTAGGTTAAGGACCGAATTCTAACCACCTTTTTAGTTAGATTAACAATTGCACATCTTTTTTTCAGCATGAATCCATGCTTGTTTTGGTCTACCCTTCTCCTAGCCTCTTCTCCCTACAAGATTCACACTTTTTTTCTTAACCAGCAAAGCAAGGTTTTAAATGTCGGCCGACATGCCCGACATGTCAGTTTGAGGGCTTGAGCGACACGACATGGACGTTTTCAACTCGTATGTCGATTTTTAGGACCAAATCGGAAATATCGGGGCCATATCGGGCATATCGGCCAATTTTCCAGCCTTGTAAAATCGGCCGATATAACCATTTTTTTAGATCTGTTTTTTGTTATCTAGTTTGGGTTTAGTGATAAAAACCCAAACCCGTTTGACCCGTTCTCATGTTTAAGGGTTTCTTATGAACCTGATAGAAAAAAAAGAGAAAAATTAGGGCTACAACGGACTTGGGAACCGATCACGCCTTTTGTGAATGACGACGCCCTTCCCCCACCTCTATCTCGGACCCCTGTCGTCCATCTCCCATTGCGCCTCTAAATCCGAACCCCAACCGAACCCAAGGTCGGCAGGGTATCCCGTCGTCAGGATAAATGGATGATGGTGGTCGGTGACTCATCCGAAAAGAGGATGGTCGGTGACTCATCCAAAGGACCCCGAACAGATGAAGAAGAACAGCCTCGACACTGCCTCATTGCGACGTCGGAATCCACCCATCGCCGGTGCTACCTCTAGAATTTATAAAGTATGCTTATATTGAATTTAGGAATGCTTAAATTACATTTAGGACATAATATTATACATATGCGCACCACCCGATATGACAATCCGATATTTAGTCCATGTCCCCCGATATATCCCTGATTTCCGCTATCTGACATGGATTTCAATCGTCCGATATGAGCCCGACATCTGACATTTAAAACCTTGCAGCAAAGTACACACATTTAACTCCATTAACCATGTCCAATCACATCTCAAGCAAGTCTACCTCATTTCATCCTAAATTGAAGCTGACTCTGGCTTTTCACAAAAACATTGGTTTCATGTTCTTGATTTGTTACGGATTACCTCCAAACCACCTCCTTGTATTAACAATCGGATGTTACTATTCAACCTTAGTCATGCTTAATCTGGTTTATCCATTATCCTAGCGATGCAAGAAAATTTGGAAGATTAGATCCAATTTAGATTGAATTAGACGAATTTGCTAGGATTCCAAAAGACTCCCCTTCACTTAGCTTCTCCCTACTATAAACAGTACACGCATTAAACTCCATAGTCCATGTCTGAACCTCCCTCTTCTCATCTTGAACTGAATTGCTTCTATCTCCTATAAAAGCACTCGTTTCTTTCCTCCTACCTTTTATACTTTACAATCTTCTATGACTACTCATGACTGATCTCCCTTCCTCTTATCACAAGTGAGAATTATCTAGCAATAGTTGATGCCATACCACAAAAAGGGATTTCAAAGTTGAAACTGCAAAGCAGTAACTCCTACATTATTATTCCATTGATCGTGGCCTTTTGTACCTCAAACTTTTCGCAAAAATTTATCCTTTTACCTCTCTGGTTTCCTACTCTTTGAATCTGAAACAGAAGGGGGGAAACTGAAGGAATGCGTCTAGTTGTTGTTTTGTAGTGATGGCCTGTGGAGTGGGTGACTGTACTAGATCTTCTTTTCTTTCTTGACTGTAACCATACATGAAGTTCAAATAGGGATCAGTATCAGGTGCTTTTCAGCTCTGTACATAATTGCAGTGATCAAATTTAAGCTTGAAACTATGTTAGTTTCTTACTATGTGTTATCGTTAAACGGTTTAAATCGGATTTGCAAAAAAGGTTAATTTAAAAATCTAGCTTATTTGTTGCATGTTTGCTGAATTATTTCTCGACTACACTTACGAAAGTTTTTGCCACAATTATTCTAGATTACATACTGCATGCATAACAAGAAATTTACCCTCTTTCCTACTTTGACTACATATCTCGAAATTCCCATGAAAGTTTTTACCTGCCTTCGTGTCCATGGGATTTCATGGAACCAAATTGACAGACAAACCAAGCAAAATTGCTTAACTTGGAATTAAAGATTGGAACTTTTAACTCCAAATCGAGCCAAAGCAAAGGATATTCATAAAAAGCCGTGCCCATTGCTTCACAAATTTTTTCCTCAACATAAATCCCAAAAGAAGGATATTACCAGAAAAAACCTAAAAATCCAACTCATAAACAACAAGATAAACAGAATTCAACAACTAAACAAAAATCTCGACCCAAGAAGAGGAAGACCCATTACGGGAAATCTCAAGAACAACGAGAATAAGGGGTCAAAATGTCACCTTGACCGCTTCTTCATCCATAATTTTAGCAGAGATCGCTGAGACCCAAAAAAAAACTTGCTGTTTAACTTTAAAAGAGAAGGAAATTTGGGGAAATGAAAATTGGGTTCGCCACGGAATCGGGTCGCGTTATTGTTCTTGGTATTAATATAATTAAGGACAAATTGTCAAAATACACCCCTTTAGAAATTTATTTACAAAATTTGACTCATTTAAAATTTATTTGTCATTTTCGACCCAGTTTCAACCAACAAGCTGAAACTGGATCGAAAATGACAAATAAAATTTGAAAACTTCATGGAATTTAAAACCCCATGAAGTTTAAGGACTAATTACGTGCACTAATGAGAAAGCCAAATATTTCACGAGATTTAAAATTTCGTGAAGCTAAAACTTCACGAAATTTTCAAATCCCATGAAGTTGCGGTACTACTGCTAGAGAGCACGAGCTCTCTGTCAAATGGGCCTGCAACTTCACAGAATTTAAAATCCCTTGAAGTTATGGTAGGCCCACACCTAGGTCGGTATTTATCTCTCTCATCCTACTTGATCTTATTTCACATTCTCTCTCTCCTCTCTCTCTCTCTCCCTCTCTCTCTCTCTCTCTCTCTCTCTCTTTCTCTCTCTTCTCCTTCACCCCCAAACCCTAGATCCATCAGTGTTAGGGATCTTCAATAGGATGAGATAGAGAATAGCAAATGTGTTCCATAAAAATCATGTCGACGAGTTTAAAGGACGTGAGGACAGGTCACGTCAATTTGGTAAAGTGTACACACAAAGAAGTAGGACAGGTCAAAGGGCGACGTATGATGATGGAGCCAGCACTTCTCATAGTGCGAAGTATGCTAATGGAGCCGACACTTCTCAACCTCATATACAACAGAATACTCAGATCATCGAGGCTCATCAGCATGGACAGAGGGGACGGGGACAGGGATGGGGGCGAAGAGTGAGGGGAAGGGGTAAGAGAGGGAGAGGAAGGAGGGGACGACTTTTATGATGTATGTGAAATTTATAGTATGATTATGAATTTCAAGAATATATATGTAAAATTGATAGTATGATTATGAATTTCAAGAATATACATGGTTTTGGTGACCTGCAGCTTTACGGGATTTCAAATCCCGTGAAGTTGCAAGCTTGTTTGCTAGAGAGCTCATGTTGTCTAGAAGTGGCACCTGCAACTTCACGTGATTTAAAATATCATGAAGTTTTTAGCTTCACGGGATTGCAAATTATGTGAGGATATGACATTCTCATTAGCCTTAGTCCATACACTTATTTCTTATTTAATTAGTCGAGAAGTTTTAATCTCGTGAAGTTTTTGAACTTTATTTGCTATTTTCGATCCAGTTTCAACCAGTTGGTTAAAACTAAGTCGAAAATATCAAATAAATTTTAAATCGGACGTTTTTTAAAAATAGATTCCTAAAGGGGTCTATTTTAAAATTTTGTCCTATAATTAATATATGTAGGGGATTTATTTCTTATTTATAAAAGGGGGCAAGAGAACAACAATGGGCTTTAAAATGAGTTCCTGTTAATAAATAACTGTTTATTAAGGGTGGTAATTGGCAAAGAAGATTACAAGCCTTTAAATGGGATCCGAATCTGGAGTACATGAATATTTATTATAGTGAATTATAATTTTCAAAGGCCCATAAAGAATTTTCAAGAGAAATTTGGTTAAAACTCTAATTTTATTATGTTTTTTTCCAATAGATTATGTAAGAGTTGGGATTTTATTTCTCAAATGTTGTTCACGCAATTTGTTCAGGTTTTCTATTATTGGTCATTTAAATCATGTTTATTTGGAAACAGACTGTCCAAAGATACTACAACAATAAAACATTTGTTTAAAAAGCATTTATCCAAATTTCCTAAGCTACATAAATCATATTCTTCTATTCAATTTAATTCTCCTCATACCCATTGCATTGGATAGGTTGCGACTGAAGGGGTTGTAATTGTAATTGCATGTAACTGGATCATTTATATCTAGTTGCAAGTGTTTATTTCAATACAGCTGGAACTTGCAATTGCAGCTACAGTTGCAAATTGCCCACCAGTTGTAGTTTTTGACTTACACTATTTTGAGCGTAATTCACACTTCCAACTTAGTTGTAACAAAGCCAAATTAATAAAAAAAAAATTTAAATCATAATATTAGTATTTAAAATTTCACAAAATCTTAAAACTTCATTAAAGATTTGAAATAAGTATATAAAAAGTATTTTTTATATTAAAAATATTTATTTTCTATAAATAATAAAAATTATTTTTAGAAATTTTATTTTAAGAAAATATTTTTTAAAATGATTTTTATAAAACTATTTCTTTTAAATATTAATTTAAGAAATATTATTTTTTAGGAAAATATTATTCTTTCAAAAATACTAATTTAAAATAAATATTTTTAAAATATTATTTTCTCCTTAAAATAATATTTTAAAAATATTATTATTTCAAAAAAATTTCTAAAAATATTTTTAGAAAATATTTTTTAAAATGATTTTTATAAAACTATTTCTTTTAAATATTAATTTAAGAAATATTATTTTTTAGGAAAATATTATTCTTTCAAAAATACTAATTTAAAATAAATATTTTTAAAATATTATTTTCTCCTTAAAATAATATTTTAAAAATATTATTATTTCCTTAAAATAATATTTTTAAAATCATTTTTTGAAGAAAAATATTATTTTTTAGAGAAAATATTATTATTTTTACAAAAAATATTATTCTTCCAAAAAAACTATTTTTAAAAACATGAATTTCAAAAAAAAATTACTTCTAGATTATATTCTTTTTTGTAAAAAACTTTTAGAGAAATTATAAAAAAAGAAAAACATTTTTAAAAATAATCATTATGAGTATATAAATTTAAATTATAATTTATTTTTATTTTTTGAAAGTAAAAAATGAGTTGCACATGAAAGGTTACAAGCAGCACCAAACAACTACAACTACAAGTTGAAAATTTTAAAAATTAAACCAAACAATTGTAACTATAGTTATATGCAAAAATAGTTACAATATTTTAGTTGCATGCAAGTGATAGATGCAATCTATCAAACACACCCTAACTATATCCTACAAAGATAGATTTATAAATTTAAGCTCCTTAAATCTTTAAGTTACGCTATACCAGCAAATAGATTCCTCTAAATAAAATTTGTTATTTTGACTTACAATTAGTTAATATAAATTTAAGAAATGTTATTTTTTAGGAAAATATTATTCTTTAAAAAATACTATTTTAAAATAAATATTTTTAAAAATATTATTTTTCTTAAAATAATTTTTTAGAAAACTAATTTTTAAAATCATTTTTTGAATTAAAATATTATTTTTTAGAGAAAATATTATTATTTTTATAGAAAATATTATTATTTTTACAAAAAATATTATTCTTCCAAAAAAAACTACTTTAAAAACATGAATTTCAAAAAATTTACTTTTAGATTATATTCTTTTTTGCAAAAAACTTTTAGAGAATTTATAAAAAAAGAAAAACTTTTTTAAAAATAAACATTATGAGTATATAAATTTAAATTTAAATTTATTTTTATTTTTTTGAAAGTAAAAAATGAGTTGCATATGAAAGGTTACAAGCAGCACCAAACAACTAAAAATTAAACCAAACAATTGTAACTGCAGTTATATGCAAAAATAGTTACAATATTTCAGTTGCATGCAAGTGATAGATGCAATCTATCAAACACACCCTAACTAAATCCAAAAAAAGATAGATTTATAAATTTAAGCTCCTTAAATCTTTAAATTAAGCTATACCAACAAATAGATTTCTCTAAATAAAATTTGTTATTTTGACTTACGATTAGTTAATGTCTATTCGTCATTCTAATATCCACTTGGTGCTTCTCCAATATTGCTAGCGACCTCCGGCCACCACCTCCAACGAGCGACGACAATTACCTATCAATTTTAGTTCAACATTCTTATAATGACGAGCCCCATCTTCAAACCAAAAGTATAACATAAACACCATAAAGAAATCATTTAGGATTAAGGAAAAAGGTTAATTGCATATTAGTCTCTTATATCATTCATAATTTCAAATTAGCCTCTCAAATCTTAGTATTTTCTCATTAGGGGCTGTTTGGTTGTTGTTGGTAAAATTGTGTATTTATGACACAACTTGGAAAGTTGTTGTCCACCTCATCAATTTCACTTGTATACTTTTCTTTGTTTGTTTTTGATTCCATTTGAATCATAAATTGCTTGTTTGATTTGCAAATGTAACTTTAATTATTTGTTTGGAAAGTATAAAAAGTGGTCCCTACTCAAATGATCATATTGGTTGGAATTATTTTTTATTATTTTTTCTGACTTCAAAGTTAGCTTTCTCCACGTGTTGAGAATAGTACCTCTATTTGTAGTGGTGCTGAATAGGTAGAACTGTCACTTTGACCGAGCATAGGATGGCGATAAATAAGCATTGGTTGGTGGTTACGTCAATACCTACTTTACACGTGCCGATCGGTGAGTGGAGGAGAAATCACCTTACCATTAAATGAGAAGTGATCGGAGCTATGGTAGTACTAACATGGTCTGATGAGTCATAAAGGCTAACGGGGCTAGAGGTATGATGCGCCTACCAAGCATTTAATATGACGCCGACGTGCTGTTAGCGGGAGAGGCTCGAGGCTAAAGTCGTCCTTTAGCTTGGCCGAGAAGCAATGCCTGACGTGCTGTTAGCGGGAGAGGCTCGAGGCTAAAGTCGTCCTTTAGCTTGGCCGAGAAGCAATGCCTTTCAAGTCAACCTTGCAATGCGTCGAATAACTGGTCGAGTGGGCTTGTAAAGAGTCGTCTTCGACAAGAGGACCGATAAGTACCATCATTCGAGTCAATTTAAGGAGATGTCGACTTGGCGGGTCGGCGAAGTTGAGATTCTTGGTGGTTTTGACCGTCAATCTGGTTTGAGCGGTGCATGTAAGGGGAGACATGTCCGTTGCTGGCAAAGGGTCATACTTTGGCGATCGAAAACACCATAATAGCTAGCTCCTTTCGCTTGGAGTCGGTTTGGGCCGGATCCGAGTGAAATGAGTTTAGCCTTGGACGGATGTAGGTGTGCATTAAATGAGGGAGCTAAAAAGTCATTTTAGATTTTACGCGGCTGACGTCACTACACATTATTTTTGACTGCCACAACCTCTCTTTTCATGGCTAATTGCAAGCTATTTGAGGTGAGTGGGTTGTGCCTTGATCCTCGAGGTGTCGCTTCGGATTCTGAGAATTAATCTTGGCCGTTAGCCAAAACTTGATCTGGTCGTTCAGATTCTGACAGTTGTAGATCCAGCTGACTATATATAGAGCTTGAGCCAGGGAGGTGGTGGTTATTGTCTTTTGAAATTTCCTTCTGAGAACTCAACATCTTCCGCACTCATCTCTTTCCGGCGATTATTCCTTCATTCTGCGATGACATCAGATCCTATAAACCGATGAGCTCTTCTGGCGGAGTTCCACTCCAAGGTGACCCCAGCACAGAAGAGGACACTCCACGGGAGGTTTGATATCCCCCGAGAGTATGAGCTGATGGCCCTGATAAGGTTGGAGGTTGTTTATAATCATCGGCCAGATCGAGCCTAGCTCTACTTGAAGCATTTGGAGTTTGGCCTGCGGTTGCCCCTACACCCCTTTCTCCAGCAAGTTTTCATAATATTAGGGCTATAGCCTATCTAGATGAAGCCAAACGCCATCGTAACCTTGGTGGGGTTCGTCGTGATCTGCCATTGGTTGTTAATAAAGTCATCCTTAAGAGTCTTGGGTCGTTTGGTGACTGTGGAAGTGAACCAGACTGAACTCTACTTTCATTTCCAAATGGTAGGGAAGTACAAGCTCATCACCGGCCTTCCTGACTCGAACAAGGACTGAAAGGAGAAGTTTGTCTTGGTCGTAGGGGACGACTTGGAGCTAGGCTGCTCGAATTGGCCTGAGATAAGGAGGGAAGCACTCATTGATGAAATTACCCTATAGGGGGGGTGAATAAGGTATATGCTAATCTAATCTAATATTAATGCTAATTTAAAACTTATTAACTTATATCTTAGCAAATATGAAATACAATAAGTTATATGAGCTAGGATGTGTAATATACACAAAGGGCAATATAAACAAGAACAAGTATGCAAATAAGATAGTACGCAAATAGATAATACAAACACACGATGTGATCACGGAGTTCGGTCCTTCTAACCTACGTCTCTGCTCCCCACTCCCGGGGAGAATCCACTATCTCAAAGGATACTACACAATCGGTTTTCAATGCTCACTGACAAACGTTTATAACACTCACAATGCAATCACACAACACACCCTCTAAGTGTTGGCCTAGCCCGTGTCGCCTTCCTCAAGTGCTCAAATTTACAACCTCTCTCTAGGCTTTACTACCAATGCTACTTCTCTTGGAATCGACCCCGACTCTTACCACACACTCCTCTCGGCGTACTTGTGTATTACAAAGTAAACTCTCAATAATAAGTACAAATAAAATGATTTGTCTCTAATACAATTTGAGAACGAAATGAAGCTCCCTCAATCACACTCACAACCCAAATGTATCGTATGTAAAAATACTCAAGCTCAAATATGGGTGTGTGTGAAACTATATGAACAATAACAAAAACTAAACTCAATATAAAATCTAGCTTAAATAAAATTGATAATCAACAAATAAATATGTAAAGCTAGAATTGAGTTTAGAGAAAACTTCTCTAAAATAACAAGAGTGAGAGAACAACAAATAAATATGTAAAGCTAGAATTGAGTTTAGAGAAAACTTCTCTAAAATAACAAGAGTGAGAGAAAGATGGAATCGAAGCTCAAACATGAAAGAATCAATCTCCTCCTCTTGTGAAAGTTTATTCACAAAACAAACTTGAAATCACTTAAAACTTTTAAGCAAACTTAAACCCCTTTGTAAACTTGTTTTAAAATTTTTTCCATTAGTTTAGAATTTAAAGGGTATGGTGTATATATAGGATCAAGAAACAAATGCCCAAAAACCAAGAAAATATCACAAAATAATAAAATCTAGAAAACTGGCCGTTATGCCAACGGCTACTAGTTCGGTCAACCGAATGACAATGGTCGGTCGACCGAAGGTTGTGCATCAGTCGACCGAACTCAAGTTATTGGTCGATTGAAACACCCTGAGAAAAAATTGTTCACTCAAATCCGCAAGTGCATGGATATCGTTGTAGCGATGCAAGGTCGTATCCTCAGAGACTTCGTTGTTAATTACTGATTTTCACTATTTTGTGACTATCTAAACCAATCGTGCTAAAAAGTATGATTTTTGACTATCAATAACGAACGCGCTAACTAGCAAATCCACTCAATTAAAAGAATCTAGGATTGAACTTCGGTTTTAACTCTGGTTTGAATCAACAAATTAATTAATTGTTATCAAATCTCTCAATGCATTAAGAACGACTAACCTATGATAACTATTAGTCTCTTTCGACGACTAAAAGTTGTGCCTAATTTAGCCTAACAATCTATTTTCATGGTGTTGAACTAAACTAAACCCATTAATTTTACGTTAATCCCTCATGTTCCCAAGAATAATTAACCTACTTTCGTAATCAATTAATTCCCGTTCAATTAACTATTTTCCGGCGTCAATCTAACCTTTCAGTTCAAATCAACATCCTAAAGGAGTCAAATCAGTGGCCAATTGAATTAACCCTAGGCAATTAGATACTAGCAATTGAATAATGCAAATCAAATAATTAATGATAACAATAAGATCAGTTTATCGATTCATAACCATAGTCGAACCTAATTCAATCCTAGAAAAAATGATTACTCACACATAATTGAAATAGAAGACATGATAACAATGTATAAGATCATAATTATAAACTAGAAAATAATATAAATTAGAAAAATAAACCTAGCATCGAAATCAAGATGTTGCACACGATTCTTCACAACCAACACTTTGCCAAATTAAAGAAATCCTAATCTAAGAGTTTTTAGAGAGATGGGGAGAAGAAGAAGAAAGAAAAATTAAAATCTCCAGCCTCTGGTCGTCCTCATTTAAGTTCTGGGAAAGATCGCGTTAACAGATAACTTCAAATCTTACTTCAAATCTCGTAATAACTGAATACTGATACCGACACGACTGTGTATATCAACACGACCAAGCCGTGTTTAACTCTATTTTGCTCTGCTCTCTGGGCTTTTCTTCTGTAATCAACACGCCAGTGTTGTTGAACACTGGGGGACCGTGTAGCCTCTTTCCATGCATTTCTTGACTCCTTCTGGACTCCGAATCCGCACTAAGCTCCAGTAATTCCTACATAATATATAAATAGAGCAATAAACAAGAACTAGGGAGCTTAATAGGGCAAAAGTGCAAGGAAATACATCAAATAACAACAAATCCATAGGTGAAACATAGTCAAATTATAGAGAATATTTGTGTTTATCAACTCCCCCATGCTTGAACAATTGCTTGTCCTCAAGCAAAATAGATGGAAACACACACATGAGGGCATAGATTCCAAGAAATGACAACGGAAATAGAAAATAAGCACAAGGGTATCCACTATTCTCAAGTTCACGTGCAAAATTATTCCACCCAACCCAATGTCAAAATAGAAATCTTGTCTCAAGTTCAAAGTTGAAGAAAATGCATCCGTAGGCATTCACGTACGTTAGTGCAAGTGACTCGACTCATAAACGTTGGAACGATGGTATGACAAAGTTACATATTTTTAGTTGATTGCCCAACACTCCTCGTGACAGACACATATCTCATCACAATGGGTCATACTCTTCCTACTTAAGGTCTCAAAGGAGTACTCGGTTTCCTTGCATTTTATTTATTTATTTATTTATTTATTTATTCATTTTTTTGAAGATCATGTCATAATTAACACCAACTGACTTGACAGCCATACTTCTGAGGGTGTGGTGTCAAGTACTCGGTGCAACAGACTTTAGGACCCTTTTTTTTTTGACAAGGCCGAGTGTTTCTCCAGTAACCAAAAAGTAGTCCAAGTCACCAAAAGAGCCTAGATACTAATTAGATGGATTAAGCCAAAAGTCATGCTTATTTATTCCAATGTCTAGAGTCAAGTATCGGCCAAGTGGAACTCGAACAGATAACATCCTAACCAATTGAACATGAAACAAAGATTTTTTAACAATGGGGCATGTGAAATAAATGATGTACGTATTAAAATGGCTCGCGAACAGTGGTACTCCTTTTCTTTTCTTTTTCTTCTCTTTCCCCCCTTTTTTTAAAAAAAACTAAATGAAAAATCCCAACACAGAAAACAAGCACTCAAAAACACCAAAGCATATATGAAACATCATCCCAACAAACCCACTCCCCCATGCTTGAATTGCACATTGTCCCCAATGTGTAAATAACTAAAAAAAAGAAGAGAAAATGGACTTACTGCTCATTGTGGTGGTGGAGGAGGTGGATAGCCATGAAGTGGGGACCATTGGTGTGACGCCCCTGGGTTCACACAAGGCTGCAGTCCAAGGTGAAACCAAGAATGTCAAACCTGCCATGCACCACACCGTGCAATAACATGTTTCACCATCACAATTCTATCACTCTAGTAGAGTCAATAACAGGTGTAGGTACAAAAGCAAGTAAAAGACAATAAAAATAATGACTGATGAAATGATAACAACCACATAGATATCTCATCTATAAAAAAATACAAAGTATATCTGAAATGAATAAACTGGAGTTCTTAACAAATCTCAAATACAACAAGTCTGAGTAAAGGAAATAAGGCACACAGCCTTTACAACATCTAGAATAAAGTCCTCAAATGTCTAAACAAAGTCTACAGTGGAGCTCCATAAATAAAATATAACTAAATAGACGACTGAAGCTAAAGTGCGTCACCATCAACCTGCGACTCTCCGGGCTTCTGGCTCGTTATCCTGGCTCGTTACCTGAAAGGGGGAGGGACAACGAGCGTCAAAGCGCTAGCGAGCAACATCACAACCAACCCCAAGGGAGAGGGCTCGTTGTATAAAAAAATACAGTTAATACATAATAATATAAAATCATTTGTCCTAACAACAATGGGTTTTGGTATTTAGGAAATTACAACACGAGCGTAGGTACATCGAGCGAAATAATCCAAACAAGGAAACCCTCATGTATATACCTTGTGTCTCAAATTGTAAAAATCCCTAAATACTAAACCTGAGGTCTAATACAAGAAACAATAAATAAAACAAATACAAACCCGTCTCTGCCGATAAATGAAATCATGACAAGGCCACCACAAGTGTCATGCAAACTCACATGAGTGTCATGTCCGAAAATGATTAAGTGTCCAAAACATAGACTATATAAATAAAACATCCAACACATAGACTGCATGAAGTGAACGTCCAACTCATGGACTGCAAGTAATGAGTGTCCAACACATGGACTGAATATAACCAATGTCCAACGCATGGACTAAATCTAACCAATGTCCAACGCATGGACTAAATATAATCAATGTCCAACGCATGGACTAAATATAATCAATGTCCAACACATGGACTAAATATAATCAATGTCCAACGCATGGACCGGATGGTAATGCATATCCAACACGAGGATTAAATAGCAATGCATGTCCAACACGAGGACTAAGTATAGTGAATATCGGACTAAACATGAACTTTACAAAGTGTAAGTGTCGAAAATATATATATATATACACAAAAGATACACGTAGTCTCATGTCACACGTGCCTCGATGTGCGGATCGGTACTTGTGTCAAAAGTCGACTCATAGGTGTAGATAACTCACTAACACAATAAATTAGTGTCAAATAATTGAGGTGAACACTCACACATACGAAAAATACACAACAAATCAACAGTGGCCAACTCTGTGCGGCAGTCGACCGCAGAGGCCACTCCGGTCGACCGTTCACAGAGCCGAGATTCACTAGGCTCAAAACTGAGCGGCGGTCGACCGCTGAGGTTATGCCGGTCGACCGCTCAAAGAGCAGAAACTATTCTGCTGGAAAATCTCACAGCGGTCGACCGCCGCATCCGCTACGGTCGACCGCGAAGTAGACAGAATCCCAGTCTGGGTTTCTGTCAGCTTCGAAACTCATATAAACTTGATAAATTCTTTGCTAAAGTAAATCTAACCATTCTAATATATCATGCAATATAAAACAGAGAATTTAAACCTTTTAAATTTCATCATCAAGATCCCACATATATGAATATGATTTAAAAGTTTCTAAAAACAGTAAAAACAGGATTTAACCTTTGCTAAAACATTTTCAGATCTAGATCTAAATAATAAAAATTCGTTGGTGAGCCTTTAAAGTCTGAAATATATGATTCTCTCATCTTATGCCATAAAGATCTACTTTATCTACATGAAAATATGATTTTGGCCCAATAAAACCTCAACTGGTCAAAATTTTCAGATTCTCACTATTTGCCTTTGTGCATGTTTTGTGTATTTACACTCGTATATTCACAATTATGCATTGAATTGATCTCAAATCAATTCCTATCATACTCAAACATAAAAATACATTATTTTCATCATATAACATATTTATAATTATTTATCACACTATATTCAAATTTTTGGGGTTTTACATTCTTCCCCCCTTAAAAGAATTTCGTCCTCGAAATTCAGAAATTATACTCAAACAAATAATATTACTCTAGACAAGCATATTATGATATTTACCTTTAACAATCTAGGATGACTATATCCCACTCAACCCTTAATCAAATGGAACTAGTACGTCGGGCGAAAAATCCAAACAAGGAACCCCCCATATATATACCATGTGTTCCAAAAGATTAAGAATTGAGCAAAAATATCCTCATTCTAGCGTTAAATCAAAATATAACCACACAAATAGTCGCACACATAAATCAATCCACTTCCTCACTAGGTGCAGGAAGTAGCGCGGCATAACATCTTCGCGCTCCCAAAAATCATCTTTGATGTCTACACTCAACCATTAAAATGTAAATACTCCCACTTAACCCCTAACTAAATGGAACAAGTACATCGAGCGAAAAATCCAAACAAGGAACCCCTCATATATATACCATATGTTCCAAGTACTTAGGAGATAAGTGTTAATACCCTCATTTTAGTGTTAAGTATAAACATCACTATACAGGTAACCATAAGTCATAAACAAGTCATACAAAAATTTAATTTACTTGATCAAACAGGTGTGGGTAGTCGCGATGTATATCGTCCTCGCGCTCCCGAGAAACCTCCTCAACTCCTTTTCGATTCTACTGAATTTTCACCAAGGGAAAAAAAAAATATTGTTTCTAAATTTCTTGTCTTCTCTAGCAAGTATATAAACTGGGATCTCAATCGTAATCAAATCATCCTGAAGCTAAATCTCCAATGCGTTCAACACTCACTGCTGCTCTTCATCATGTAATTGTTTCTTGAACATTGAAACATGAAACACTTTATGTACTATGGACATCGATGCTGGAAGGTTTAGTCCATATGAAACAGCTCCAATAAGCTCTAAAATCCGGAACGATCCAATATATCTCAGCTTAAACTTTCTCCGAATTGTCCTCATTTCTTATCTGCATAGCTCTTTTGCTGACTCTGAGCGGCTAGAACCTGTTCTCTGATTTATGTTACTTTCTCAGTAATCTATCTTATAGCTAGAACCTGTCCTTTGATTTATGTTACTTTCTCAGTAATCTATCTTATAAGCTCTGGCCCAAGCATTAAAATATCCTCCTGCACTTCCCAATATATAGGCGATCTGCAAGGCTTCCCGTACGATGCTTCATATGGGGCCACACCAATTATCACTTGATAACTGTTGTTATAAGCGAACTCTATCAGTGGAATATGATTCCTTCCATCTACCTTGAAAGTCAATGACATAAGCCCGCAACATGTCCTCCAACATCTGATTTACTCTCTCCGTCTGACCATCCGTCTGTAGGTAAAATGCACTACTGTAAGATGAAGATACTGCCAAGTGAATCTTGGATTCTTCCACAAGTGAGGAGTGAATACTGAACCTCGATCCGATACCATCGTGTCTGGGACTCCATGAAGTCAAACTATCTACCAAACAAATATCCTCGCATAAGCCCCGGCGGTATAAGTAGTCCTTACTGGAATGAAATATGCTGGCTTCATTAGTATATCCATTATCATCCAAATAGAATCATTTTCTTTCTCCGACTACGGCAACCCTACAATAAGGTTCATAAAAAGTCCGCCCACTTCTATTTCTAAATGGGAAAAGATTGAAGTGTTTCCTGACCGGTAAGACACTTAGCTATATACTCTGAAATCTTCCTATGCATATCACTTCACCAAACGTGTCTCTTTAGGTCTTTGTACATCTTAATTATTCCTGGATGTACAGAATCACGAATTCATAGTTCTCAATAAACTCAATCCAATGTCGCTGCCTCTGGTTGAGTTCCTTCTGGGAGAAAAGATACTCCAAACTCTGGTGGTCGATGAACAACTCAAATTGCACTCCATATAAGTAATGCCTCGTGACTTCAGTACAAATATCACTACTGCTAACACCAAATCATGAGTGGGGTAGTTCTGCTCGTGCACCCTAAATTATCATGAGATATATGCTTCTACCCTCTGAGTCTGCATCAAGATACCTCCTAAACTTGCCAATGATGCATCTGTGTAAACAACGTACGTCCTGTCACTGCTCGAAATAGACAAAACCGGTACTGTAGTCAACTTAGTCTTTAAAGTATCAAAGGCCTTCTGGCACTCTGTGTTCCAAATGAACTGTACACCCTTCTTCGTAAGACGTTCAAGTGGCGCCGACATTTTCAAAAAAAAGTCTAGGATGAACTTCCTGTAATAACCGGCTAACCCAAGAAGACCATCTTCGGCGGTTCCAAATCAAGAATCACTGTAAACTTAACCGGATTGACTGCTATGCCCTCTCTGCTGTTGACGTGGCCGAGAAGTCTAACTTCTGAAAACCAAAACCCGTATTTGCTGAACTTGACATATAACTGATGCTCCTGAAGAGTCTGCAATGCTACTCGTGTTCTGCCTCCGATCTCGAAAATATGAGAATATCAAACTGGCCCATGAAGGGACGGAAAAACCCGGTTCATCACATTCATGAATACTATGGGTGCATTAGTCAACCCGAATGGCCTGACTAGAAACTCTAAAGATTCACATCGAATTAGGAAAAACAGCTTTGGAAAAATCCATCTTCCGAACCCGCAACTATGATAACCAGAACGAAGATCAAACTTCGAGAAATACTACGCTCTCTGCAACTAGTCGAACAAGTCATCAATCCTAGGTAATGAGTACCTATTCCGGATAGTGACCTTGTTCGGCTCTCTTCCCGAACCCGCAACTATGATAACCAGAACGAAGATCAAACTTTGAGAAATACTACTCTCTCTGCAACTAGTCGAACAAGTCATCAATCCTAGGTAATGATTACCTATTCTGGATAGT